CTTCATGAGATTGAGAAGGTTTGCACCGTCATTAGCTGACACTGAAGAGAAACAGACAGAAAACCTATGAAGACTCGCCGCATGTTAGAGGCCTTTAACCCAAAAACCTATGAAGAGGCCCGAAGGACGGCCAAGGCCCTAGAGGAACCCCCCAGAGGAAAAGAAAACGGAGCCAACGGTTGTCACAGGGAGGAAACGCCCTATCGAGGTCGAAACCACAGAATTCCAACCACCGCTCCAGAGACCTCGATATCAGAGTAGGCCACCTGCTCCACCCCTAATAGCTCGATACCTAGCAATGGAGAAGCCTCTGTGCCGTAACTGTGGAAAACAACATGTTGGGAGATGTTTGGCGGGGCTCAGGTATGTGTTATATCAGTGGTCATGCAAGTCATGTGGCCAGAACTTGCCTTACAAGGAGCTCGGAAAATCCAAGGGAACCCCTTAGAGGACCGGTCATCTGAGAGCCCACCATACAAACCTGCCCACAGACCAGGGCATATGCAACGACCAGTAAAGAGGCAGAAACACCTGGCACCGTGGTGACAGGTATGCTTTCTATACTAGGACACTTTGCGTTGATATTTTTTTATTCTAGTTCTACCCATTCCTTTGTTGCTTTACCATTTGTTAAACAAGCAGGGTTCGTATAGAACCCTTAATGCATGTATTGTCGGTCGGTACCCAGCAGGGGTAGACTTAGTTACGAAAATAGAGTAAAGGACGGACAAGTGGTAATAGCTGGACAAACCATCCACGTAGACTTAAAGGTAGTAGATATGATGGACTTTGACGTCATACTAGGGATGGACTGGCTAGCCGAAAACTTTGCTAGCATAGACTGCCATAAGAAAGAGGTGATATTCACACCTCCCAACGGACTTACCTTTAAGTTTAAAGGAACCTCAACAGGTACCACCCCAAAAATAATATCGATGATGAAAGCGAGACGCCTGGTACAACAAGGGGGGTGGGCATTTCTAACCTGTGCAGTAAACACAAAAGGAAAGGAAAAACTCATAGATACAGTGTCCATAGTAAACAAAATTATGGATGTCTTCCTAGAGAACCTCTTAGGGATCCCTCCATCGCGGGAGGTAGACTTTGGAATATAACTGGAACCAGGAACGGGACCCATCTCTAAGGCCCCGTACCGCATGACACCAGTAGAATTAAAAGAACTTAAATCACAACTGCAAGACCTATTAGATAAAGGCTTCATTCGACCTAGCGTGTCCCCTTGGGGTGCGCCAGTGTTGTTTGTCAAAAAGAAAGACGGCTCAATGCGTTTATGCATTGATTTATAAGGAATTGAACAAGAGGACGTAAAGAACGAATACCCGTTACCCCGTATCGAAGACCTATTTGACCAACTGCGAGGGGCAACAGTGTTTTCTAAAATAGATCTTCGATCAGGATATCATCAGATTAAGATTAAAAATGAAGACATACCAAAAATAGCCTTTCGAACCAGATATGACCACTGCGAGTTTGTGGTGATGTCTTTAGGTCTCACCAATGCCCCAGCGGTATTTATGGAATTAACGAACCGAGTATTTAAAGAGTGCTTAGACTCGTTTGTGATCGTGTTCATAGAAGACATCCTGATATACTCGAAAACGGACCTAGAACACCAAGAGCACCTTCGCAAAGCCTTAACTATTTTAAGGGAGAACAAGTTGTATGCCAAATTCTCCAAGTGCGAATTTTGGCTACGACAAGTTTCGTTTCTAGGGCACGTAGTGTCTAAAGACGAAATTTTTGTGGACCCCAATAAGATAGAAGCTGTCACGAAGTGGAAACGCCCAACAACGATCACCGAGATACGAAGTTTCTTGGAATTGGCGGGTTACTATCGAAGGTTTGTCAAGGACTTCGCTAGAATAGCCACGCCTCTCACCCAATTGACAAAAAAAGGTGTACCTTTCGTTTGGGATGATACATGTGAGGCCAGCTTTCAAGAGCTAAAACAAAGACTAGTATCCGCCCCAGTGCTCACAGTTCCAGAGAGTTCTATGGGATACGTGATTTACAGTGATGCATCCAAAAAGGGGTTAGGTTGTGTGCTGATGCAACATGGCAAGGTTGTTGTGTATGCGTCACGCCAACTAAAGGATTATGAGAAAAACTATCCTACACATGATTTGGAGCTGGCAGCGGTGGTGTTCGCGTTAAAAATTTGGTGACACTACCTCTATGGCGAAAAGACTCCAAAAGGCAATAGGTACCCGCCTCGACTTTAGCACCACCTTCCACCCACAAACGGATGGCCAAACGGAACGATTAAACCAAATCCTGGAAGACATGCTTCGGGCATGCGTTATGGATTTAATAGGGAGTTGGGACACTAAACTACACTTAATGGAATTCTCTTACAACAACAGCTTCCAAGCAACCATCGGAATGGCACCCTTTGAAGTGTTGTATGGAAAACAATGTAGATCCCCATTGTGCTGGGATGAAGTAGGAGAACGAGAACTTGTAGAACCCGAATTGGTCCGCATCACCAATGAGGCGAGACAGAAAATTAGAGTAAGAATGCGTAACGCACAAAGTAGGCAAAAGAGCTACGCCGACGTTAGGCATAGGAATTTAGAGTTCGAAGAGGGGGACCCAGTGTTCCTAAAAGTAGCTCCTATGAAAGGCATTCTAAGATTCAGACGAAAGGGGGAAGCTAAGCCCCCGATTTATTGGACCATTCGAAATTTTAGAAAGAGTAGGTTCGGTAGCTTACAAACTAGCTTTACTACCTTCGCTTTCAAGCGTACACGATGTATTTCATGTGTCCATTTTAAGAAAATATATTACAAACCCTACGCACGTAATAGACTACAAACCTCTCGAAATCTAGGAAAATTTAAGTTATCAGGAGAAACCGATTAAAATCCTAGCCCGAGAAGTGAAAGTCTTACGTAATAGAAATATAGGTTTCGTTAAGGTATTGTGGCGTAACCACCAAATCGAGGAAGCTACGTGGGAACGAGGAGAGGAAATAAAGGAAAAATATCCCGAGTTGATCCACGAGTTCGAGACTTTCGAGGACGAAAGTTCTTCTTAGGAGTAGGTAATGTAATAGCCAACAAAAAAAATAATAGTAATAACAATAATAATAATAATAATAATAAATAAATAAATAAAAAGGATTACTTACAAATAAAAATAAAATTTAACCATCTCTCTCCCCTAACCTCTAGTCACAACCCCATCCTCTTTCCTCAACCCGGTTGGATGATGGAAGTCCCACATCGGCTAATTTAGAGAATGATCATGGGTTTATAAGTGAGGAATACTAACTCCATTGATATGAGGCCTTTTGGGGAAGCCCAAAGCAAAGCCATGAGAGCTTAAGCTCAAAGTGGACAATATCATACCACTGTGGAGAGCCGTGTTCGTCTAACAAACCCCACCCAGGGACGATGATGGAAGTCTCCATTGGTATGAGGCCTACCCCACCATATCAGTTCAATTCAAAAAAATGGGGATAGACCCCACCCAGTTCAATTCAAAAATAAATAGAAAAAAATGTCATAGGTTTATAAGTGAGGAATACTAACTCCATTGGTATGTGGCCTTTTGGGGACGATGATGGAAGTCTCCATTGGTATGAGGCCTTTTGGGGAAGCCCAAAGTAGTGGACATGGGTTTATAAGTGAGGAATACTAACTCCATTGGTACGAGAGGCCTTTTGCTCCATTGGTATGAGACCTTTTGGGGAAGCAAAGCAATGGGGATATAGGACCATTGTGGAGACGCCTTTTGCTTCATTGGTATGAGACCTTTTGGGGAAGCAAAGTTTGGGGAAGCCCAAAGTAGTGGACATGGGTTTATAAGTGAGGAATACTAACTCCATTGGTACGAGAGGCCTTTTGCTCCATTGGTATGAGACCTTTTGGGGAAGCAAAGCAATGGGGATATAGGACCATTGTGGAGACGCCTTTTGCTTCATTGGTATGAGACCTTTTGGGGAAGCAAAGCAATGGGGATATAGGACCATTGTGGAGACCCCACCATATCAGTTCAATCCAAAAATAAATAGAAAAAAATGTCAGATCTGGTAAAAAGTAAAAAAGGGGAATATAAGAGAGATTTTGGTCTGTTATTACGGTAAGATTTCATTTTTTATTTTACTAGTAATAATCAGATACCATAGTAAAATTCTATCTCAGATTTCCTTTTTTTGTTTATAGTTATGGTTATAAGAAATTAATTTAGAATCAAATCTTCTTTCATATTTTACTAGTAATAGTCAGATACCATATTCACAATATCATATCATTATGGAGAGTCGTGTTCGTCTAACAAACCCCACCATATCAGTTCAATCCAAAAATAAATAGAAAAAAATGTCAGATGTGGTAAAAAGTAAAATGGTGTTTCAAAGATATGATGGGGATATAGGAGAGATTTTGGTCTGTTATTATGGTAAAATTCTATCTCAAATTTCCTTTTTTGTTTATAGTTATGGCTATAAGAAATCAATTTAGAATCAAATCTTCTTTCGTATTTTACTAGTAATAATGAGATACCATATTCAATTCATTAGATTTTTTTTTTGTTAGCATTGGAAATTATAGGAAATAAGGTTAGAATCAATAAAATTTTAGTGAGATACCATAGTAAAATTCTATATCAGATTTCCTTTTTTGTTTATAGTTATGGTTATAAGAAATTAATTTAGAATCAAATCTTCTTTCATATTTTACTAGTAATAATCAGATACCATATTCACAATATCATACCATTATGAAGAGTCATGTTCGTCTAACAAACCCCACCATATCAGTTCAATCCAAAAATAAATAGAAAAAATTGTCAGATGTGGTAAAAAGTAAAATGGTGTTTCAAAGGATATGATGGAGATATAGGAGAGATTTTGGTCTGTTATTAGGGAAAAATTCTATCTCAAATTTCCTTTTTTGTTTATAGTTATGGCTATAAGAAATCAATTTAGAATCAAATCTTCTTTCATATTTTACTAGTAATAATGAGATACCATATTCAATTCATTAGATTTTGTTTTTTTGTTAGCATTGGAAATTATAGGAAATAAGGTTAGAATCAATAAAATTTTAGTGAGATACCATATTCAATTCATTAGATTTTTTTTTGTTAGCATTGGAAATTATAGGAAATAAGGTTAGAATCAATAAAATTTTAGTGGGCAGTAAGATAGTAGACAAACAATCAATTAAAATTGGCCAACAATATTTGTTTACTGAATGAAAATAAATATAAAATTAGAGAATTAGAGGAATATCTCAATTATAGAATTGAAAATGTTTACAAAACTGAAAATCATTTACCAAAAAAAAAGAATCGAGGGAGAAGGGAAGATTTGTTTAACAGAATTTAAAAATAAAACAGTAAAGATCAGAGGGCATGAAACTCGTTAAATTTTGTCTAACATTAAATATCAGAATTTTAACCCTGTAAATTAGAGAAATAATTTTATAGAGTTCAAACTTGAAACTGATGTCATGAGCTCACATAGGTTGACTTGGATTTCAAAGGACGGAATCGAACTTTCATTGAGGATATATACGTGACAACGACTTAAGCTAACCAGGTAAGTGGCTTACCCGTCGTAGGTTACGCGTTATTTGCTGTATGTTGGCACGTGCCCGTGGATTTGCACGTGTCATTAAATTGTATGCTAGTTTAATGTGCTTAAGTATGAAATCATGTGAATGTGAATGTATGCTATGTATGCTGCTTAGTTTGATGTGATATGTTATGCATGTGACGATATGTGGTCCTTGAATGATTATGGCATGTTTGTATGGAATATGTGAATGTGAACAGCATGAATTGTATGACATAAAACACAGTAAACTGTCTGGAATCATAACCCTGATAGAAATGTGTATGAAATGTGAATTGAAAATGAGAATGACATGAAGCATGGAACGTGACAGGGGAGTTATGGTCATTAAAGATAAATGTAGAAATAGGGAGACCTCATGCATTATGTGTGTTCATGCATCTGGGGGGATACCCTCATCCCATCACGAGGGTACGGATGCGTACATCCAATGGCAGGACAACGATCGTTATGCATTGCATAGCGCTACCGTGACGGATCTAGTATACCCACCGGATAAGGACAATGGCCCAGCGGTGTGCGAACTAGCTGGTGAGCCCATACTCGCACGTATGGGCTGTGTGTAGAGTATATGGTACACGTCCACGATTACTCGTTAGGATTGCACCGTAGGGAAAACGAAACGAATTGAAACGATAGGTCCCACCATTTCATTGCATGGGATTGTCGCATAATCCCGATAGGGGGTCACTTACTAAGTATTCTAGAAATACTCAAGTCTCGTGCTACTTTACTTTTGCAAATAAGGGCAAGGCACCCATATGACAACGACGGTGGAATCGAACACCTCGGATCGTGGCACATGCACAGGGTAGTCTAGTAGTTGCACTCCCCTCACTAAAGATATATTTCTGTCCATTTGATATAACCATGATTAGTAAGTCGATCCTTCACAGGTTGTTCGTAACTAGAGCTGGATCAATTTACCGTTTTACCCCTGAAGTTACTTCTTGTTCCTTATGTCTCACTGATCCTCTAATGAACAATTGGTTTGTGGTCCAACCAGTAAACCGAATCCCTCTCAGGCCAATGAGAGGGTGGGGCCCCTTGTTCAAGACCTGGAGTCAGTGCTTAAGGGAACTACCTCTCTTCTATCCCTAAAAGTGGGTAGGAGTGAATTTCATCTTGCACCCCACGTCCCCAGCCATTCACCCAGTCTTACCCCTGAAATGGGAGGCCTATTGAGTCGGCGAACTAGAGCCACTCTCACCCGTGCAAATCTAAGGATAATTCCGAATAAACAGAAGTTCATGGTTAGCTGAGGATTTAAACCGAATTACCTAGGTTATCGAATGAAAAGAAAATCAGTCTCAACAGTAAACGACATTATAAAGTGAGAGTGGTTTTCTTCATGGTCCGTTCTTATGCAATACTCATTGCATAGGACGCCTCCACTCACATGTCTTCACATGTACAATTTAGTGTCACATTGTTTATATCATATACAAAAGTGGGCCGCATCCATAGTGTTCCCAGAATAAGGTACTCAGCCTTATCCTTATACTATAGATCATTTTGATTATATACTTGAACTTGATCCACTCTTATGTCTCTACATATAGTTCAAGTAATAATAGCCCGATT